GGCTTTTTCTTAGTAATAGGAGAGCAGAAAATTTCCAACTGCCTTAGAAAGTGTATCTTGACATGTCTCAGGCCACTTGACATGTTTCATACCCTAATAAAGTCTCTAAAGCTGCAGAAATTGGGGGTGGGAGAATATTTCTATGCATGTGTCACACAATTGTTAGAGTACTTTCTACTTCCTGTTCACCTGGTTAAATCAACATGATATCATCAGTGAAATAAACCACTGGAGCACAGCAGTAATCAAGTTCCGTGTTGTCCAGAATATGACATAGGTTTGAAAGTTTGATATAACTCCAAGTGTGTTTGTTGCTGATCCTGACAGATGAAAGTAAACTGTCTCTGATTACCTTTAGTAATAGGTAAAAATAATTTTAAAAACTTACCACATCAATAACTACATACCAGGAACCAGGAAATGTATTCTTTTGCTCAAGCAACAAACAAACAAATAAACACATCTGGACCAGAAGTTGTAGTTGAAATCAACATCTGATTAAACATGCAATAATTTACTTTCATTCTGTATTATTTCTAGACTTACAACCAAATTCAGCTTCTTACAGTAACTAAAAAAGTGTGATTCATGAGAAGAAGTAATATACTCCAAAATAATTGTGAGGTTTTTGCCAATTTATATCAATAAAATACTAGAGAATATATATGGGAACTGACCCCAATGATATTTAGTTCAACGTGAAACAATCATATGTTGGACTAGACAAAATTTATTGATGAGAGTACACTAGGCTAAGACTCTAGATTCATTGTATTTAAGCCACTAAGAATGTCTCTAAAAGTTTGCTTGACTAAAAGGTGGCCCCCAAAATGTGCACAATGAACAAATATGAAGTGCCAGAGAAAGGTATCTGTGAACTTAGGGAGACCAAGATGCTAAAGTGTTTTTATTACTTAAAACTTTCCCATCTACCTTCTGACTAGACTCCTAAGAACTTCCAGAGACACTGCCTTCACCAAGGCCATGAAAGATGCATTTGTGAGAAGAATCCTAATATCTCTCAACAGAACAGATTTATTGTGGTTCTCTGTAGGCCATCAACTTGGGCAATCTGGATGCAACAGGGACAATGGTATCCTAGGGTGGCAGTTTCTGACTCAAGTCAGACTTCAGCTCACTTATGCTTAGAAAGAGCAAGTAAAATCTGAGCAGGTTGTCCATCAGTCTTTTGCTCTAGGGACAAAACAACCAAGTAACCAATACTGAAGATCTCTGTGTGTCAGGCCATTCTGATTGCTGCTTTGGCTCAACTGTCCATTATGGAAGCCATGCTCACAGTGTTCTCTAGACTAAAGACAAAAAAATAAAATAAAAATAATGTTGGGTGTCAGGCACTATGAAAGAGTAAGTTTGAACTGACTCAGGATAAAATGTTAAGCAAACACTAACAAAAAAAATTAACAAATAAATCTAAAAATCCAAAAAGAAAAGCAATAATTGCTAGGTGCTAATATAAATTTACTACAAGTAATCCAAACTAAAGTGTTCTGATTTGTTCCTTAAGTGGGATTACTAAATTAGAAAAAAGGTGATATGTACATGTATGAATGACCCATGGACATGGACGATGGTGTGGGGATTGACTGTGGGAGCAGGGGGTGGGATGGAAGGAGGAGGGCAAAGGGGGAAAACTTGGATAACTGTAATAGAATAAACAAGAATTTAAAAGAAGAGAGCTTTTAGAATCAAGGTAAACTAATGCAGCAACATGTTTCTAATATTTTTATATTAATTCATACTAAATGTTTTAATTTTATGTATCTATTGATTTAATTTTTATTAATTGCTTACATATTTATTGATGCGATTCTCTGACTCTTAGAGTGAAGGACAGAATTGCTGAAAGCATGATATGTAATTCATTTCCATAATAGTCTTTATGTTTTTACTGTTTCCCACTTAGCTATATTAATGTTTTTCAAAAATGTAGTAATAAATGCAAAATAAGAAAACAAAAGTGGTATCTTATATATAGTATGAAGTTAACCATAAGCTTCATGTGAACAAATAATATGATAAAGAAAACCTGGATTTTATTAACAATATATTGGCAAATGAAGAACAACTACACTCTAACCTGTACTAGACAACCTATATATGAACTGCCATGCCAGTATTGAATGAAATATTTTACAAGAAATATTCACTGGACAAAGGCTACCTCAAACAAGTTCAGTAAGGGTGTTCTGGGTAATCCTTCACATGAAGAATGGCTGTGGTAACTGGGGTTTTCATGTCAATAAATAAATAAATAAACCACTTTGTTGGCAGAGCACTGGTTAGCTGCCTTTATTTAAAGTACAACCATATGAAATAGGAAATTTATCCTGGATAATCTCAAAGGAAGATCTCAGATCAAATGTAGATTAATTTCCAGGGAGAACTATCTGGATGCAATATTCAGAAAAATCTTCCCTTTGCTGTAGATGTTTGGCAGTAGAAATAGCTACTGTAAGAAGCAGGGGAGCCTTTGACTTTTGGATGTTTTTGCAGAAGCTGAGTCTACATTGGCTGTTTGGTGGGGCACAATTCTGCAATAGGTAGGAGGCTAAATTAGATGATTTTTAAGATCTCTTCTAATCTTAGTTTAGATGAATCCACGAAGACTGAGCAGAGAAGGTGAAAGGAAGGAAGAGGAATTTCTGAGACACATGTAGTAAGACAGGATGAGAGCAAGAAGGTGGTTCAGAGAGCTTGATCTCAATATGTGTTCCAGTTGTAGTGTAGCATCAGGATATCTCATGCATATCTGGACACACAGGAGTTCATTAAACTGGGCCTGTTATGCTCTCTCTTCAAACTGACGCAGCAGCTATGATACACTGATTTAGATGACATGCGTCTCCCTGGGAATAGAGGTAAATGGAAAGAGCAGTGGACCAGTAATAGGAAAATGGAGGTTTTAGAATCTAATTCCAGTATTGCCAGAGATTCACCACCTGCTTTTTGAGCAGTTTCTTGCAAATTCACTATAAAGGAGATCTGTGAGATGTGAAGAACTTTTTATAACTGAGTATAAAATCATTCAACAGGCACAAGATCTAGACTCAGGAGTAACATCATGTCTTTGCCTCTCATATTTCACAATGGTTGCAGCTCTGACATGAATTACAAGTCACATTTTTTTTTGTCTGGGGTTTTGAGGCTAAATGGGTTTAGCAAAGGATATCATAATTTCTCTTTGTGGCCACAGAATTGTCCCAAGAGATTGCTACAGTCAAGTGGAATAAGATAAGTATTGACAGAGTCACTGTTACTCCCAAGGCCACAAAGGGAGCACTTCCTTAGCCTCTGAGGAACTGGAATCTCCAAAAAAAATCAAGAGACCTGGCCCACTAACTGCCTTCAGAGCAAGGAGCACGTTGAGGGAGGTGCAGACCAAAGGTGAATTTACACATCAGTGACTAAAGTTTCCTGCCTCTAAGCATAAGAAGTCACTCATGAGCAGCGTCCCTAAACCACAGCTACAGGATGTGGGCACAAGCCCTTGTATAATTGTTGGCTAAGAGCCAATAAGCATTCATCCCCGTGCAAATACTGGGGCTTTTTTGTTGTTGTTAACCTTTGAAAACCACAGGTATTAGCCTCTCTCTTTCTTCCCTTTGGCACCAATCATCTTCTTTTCTCCAACTTGGTCTCTTGTGTGTAAAGAATTTCTGAGGAGCTTTTAAACCTAAATTTAATACTTTTGCCCTCCCCTCTCCTGCCCCACAAAATGCCAGGCAAAGGTTAAGCCTCCTTACAAAATATCTGCTGGCTATGCTGGCTTCCGCAGCTCTGTTTGGGCTTTTTGATTAGAGAGGAAATCAGAGAGCTCTAGCAGTGACCTTAACCTTCAAGAAAATACAGGCAATTTCTGGAAATTCCCTCTAAACAACAGTGACCTATTTTTTTTCTCACTTTAGAATTAACGCAGCAACTATGATACACTGATTTACATGACATGACTTTCCATGGGAATGAAGGTAAATGGGAAGAGTAGTAGACCAGAAATAGGAAATTGGAAGCTTTAGAATTTAATCCCAATGTTGCCAAAAATTTACCATCCATTTTTTGAGCAATTTCCTTCTAGTCTCTAGGCCTTTGTGAAATGAAAGCTTTGGATTAGATGGTTCCTATCTCTGTAAATTGGATTCCTTAGTGATAATTCGGCAAAGGTACAATGAGAATGGGCCTCAATGTATTGTAAAAGATGCCAAACTTGTAAGTTGTCCTTTCTTTTCTGCTTTTGAGGCTAGTCAAATACTAGGCCTCCAAAGAGGCCTGGCATTTGGCCTCTCACTGAGGCCAAATTATTGCTGAGACCAAATCATTATTACTCAGTGAGAGGTCAGGCATGGTGATTCTCGCCCACACAGTGTATTGTAAGTGGTAGAGAATCAATCAGCCTTCACTCTGTACCCAAACGCCCTACATCCTGAAATGGAAACCCAAGCTGAATCCACTGAAGCATAAGAATGTTTTCAAATTAAAGAGATGGCAGATGAGCATTACAGGACTAAATAAACAGAAGGAGAACTTTCTAATCATCAGAGCTTCCCAAGATGTATTAGAAGACGGTGGGTTATCTATCAGTAGAGATGTTCAAGCTGTTTCTGAAAGGAGACTTCCTGGGATTTTCTACTGGGAATTCCTGAATGGCATAAAAATCAGATAAAGAAGATGGCAGTTCTATTTTTTGGACATTTCTAACTGTAAGAGGTTTATTCTTATCTTGAATTACCATCCAAATTTCTGTATACTCTCATCCTCTGATCATAATCCTACTTTGTATACCCCATATATTACTTTAAGACATATCCCACAGGAGAGTCTTTGTGAAATGTGAACACAGTTCTGGTGTCATCTCTGAGTTTTCCACATTAAATAGCTTTGGTGCAATTAAATGCTTATTCTATATCATTATAGGCTGGACCTCAAGACTCAGGGACATCTACCTCCTCTCATCTTTTCTGATTTGATTCCATTGATGATGCTACAATGTATCATTTAGACAGTCATTTGAAAACAGTCCAGTTTAAGTTACAAAGAGGACAAATGTGCAGAGAGAAGTCAATTGTCAGGCTGACCCTTAAATGGTAACTGAAAAGAAAGGGCTGGACATTTCAGAGGCTGCTGCCAACAAATGCTACTATCTTGAGGCAAATGGGGATTTTTCAGGCAACAGTGCTATAGTGATTTGCCAATTATGTCTACTTTAGAACCATTGCCAAAATAATCCAACGACTTTTCATTCCACTACTGTTGACAGGGCAGCTAAAAATTTCAACATTTCCTTTTACAGTCTGAATAGAAGTTCTCTGCCTTGGGGACTATAACAATATTTGCCATCATGGCGGGGAAAGTGGATGCTGGGAAGGGGACAGAGAGGGAGGGAAATACTAATGGAAGTAAACAAAGACAAAATGGAATGAGGTTTATTCAAGACTTGGGTTTTGAATGCCTACATCAAATTGATGTTAAGATTGTATCAGAGGACAAATCTTAGGAATTGAGTAAGTTTTTCAACGGTAGAACTTCAAAAAATAGATGCCACATAAGCAAAAACAATTACCTGAACATTTTTATTTGAATGCCTACCAAGGTGTCCCAGCCTTGAGTCTTGGGACAGGCCAAAGGTTGGTTATAATAATGTTTATGGTGTTCAACATTTAAAACTGATTTTTAAAATAAATTAAAAGTAAGATAAAATTGAAAAATTAAAAAAATACAAGAAACTTGAAAAGTTGAGAAAAGGTGAGATAATCTTCCAGATTGTTCAAAATCAGACATAAGGAGAGACAAAGAGTAAATAATAAAAGAAAGAGCAATGGAAAATAGAATGAGTTAGGACACACCTCAAAACCCTTTGGAAGCCACAGACACTCCCCAGGAAGCCCCTCTGGTGGCATTCCCACTTCTCCCTCAATCATTGTGGCCCTACTTCTATCTGTTTAACATGTTGGGCATCCACTAGAAAGAAAGGGCCTGCTATTTTTCTGTGTGTGTTTGAAGAAAAAACTGCAAACAGAAATGAGCCATTAAAATTCTTGAATAGGGAGTGATATGATCAAATTGTGCTTTAGGAATCTGACAACTAAGAGTAGAATGGATCAGAAGAGGGCCAGCCTTGGAATGAAGATCCCAATTAAAAGGCTATGACCTTTAAAAAAAAAGACATTCTAGAGTCATCCTCCAAGTTGATCTAATAACATACCTATGAGAATGGAAAAGGGGAGGAGAATATGAACAATTTTGGAAGAAGAATGAACAGTTTGACATCTGGGCATTAGAGTATAATGTTAAGCCACATACAGATACATCACTGCTATGGTCTGGGTGTTTGTGTCCACCTGAAATTTCATAGGTTGAAATTCTAAAGCCCAATGTTGAGTCCGAAGGCAGTGATTAGGTCATGAGAACAGAGCCCTCATGGATGAGGTTAATGCCCTTATAAAAGAAGCACAAGAGAACATTTTATCATGTGAGGATATAATAAGAAGTCTGCAACCTCAGAAGAATGCCCTTACCTGACCATGCTGGCACCCTGATCTCAGAGTTCCAGCCTCCAGAACTGTGATAAATACATTTCAGTTGTATATAAGCTGCCCGATTTGTGGTATTTTGTTACAGCAGCCCAAATAGACTAATACAAATACTATATGGAATGGATTTGGCATGGATTTTAACTGGAACCATAAAAATGACACAGAGAAATCCAGGAATTTGAAGATGCTAAATGTGAGAGGCCATTTGAACACTGATATAGATGATCAGCAGACACAAATGCAAAATTAAATCTTGAAGAAATGTCAGGGATGCATATATGGATTTGAAAGGCATTCTTATAAGAAGGGTAGCTAAAATAATAGACAGCTAGACCCCAATGAGACAAAAAATCAGGATCAGAGGGCCAACACCTAAGACCTGAAAAATGCCTAAGTTTAGAGGACAGAGTAAAAAGAGCCCAGAGCCCACCTTGAGTTTATAATCAGGTACCCATTTGATAACATTATCTAATGGGCTTAGGAGAATTTATTTTCTTGTTTTGGGAAATTTGATTATCACTATATAAGGTCTAAAGTATACATTTATCAGTCTAATCAAGCTTTTGGATTTCCTAAGTACTAAATATTCAAAATAATGTAGTGCTATTTTTAAAAAGTTAATTGTTTCAGTCCAAAATGACAGTGGGCTGAACTAGAATCTTCAATTATGATATGTGTATGGATGATGTACTTATATATCAAAGAGTCTCAAAAACCAATACTCCCACGGGCAAGAGAATAGCCAAGTTTGTTGCGGTTTCCAATGAATGACATCAGTCCCATGTAGGTCTCAATCAAAATGGGTTCATTTAACACCATTGGTCCCTTTGCTCTTCCAGATCCACTTGAATTCTTGAGGGCATTCTGGATAGCTGGCACAAGCTTAGACATGAATCCAGACAACTGAAGAGGAAAAGAGGGCCCAGAGTTAGTGAATACAGAGTAGGTCCAGTTGAACCTCCTCCCCAACCAGTCCTTACAAAAGTTGACCACTCTTGGGAGCTTCAATTATTTTTACTTCTTAAATAAGAATCATATCTCAGAATTATTAACATTGCTTCTATTAGTCTTTTAAAAAATTAATCCATTAATAAATTACATACATAAAGACAACTACTTTATTTTATTTTTATTACTGATACTTTGTCCAACATTAAGAAATGAGATAAATAAATATTTACTGACAGTCTATTGTGAATCACATTTGTTGCCCTCAAAGAAGTGACACTCTAATAATCTAAGAAATGAACTTCTAATTATTATACAAAGTTCACAAAAATAAATCATAAAAAGAAGTACAAGATGCTAAGGGAAAACAAAAGAGGGAGAAATCATACATGGTTAGAGAATCAGGAATAACAAAATGTGACTCAAGACAATCCTTTAAGGGCTAATAGGGTTTCAATGACTGAAATAAGGTTAGTGAGGGCCCACTTGACAGCTGCTCTTTTTTCCAACCCAGCATCCTTCCCACTATTTGATATTCTCCTACTAATAAGAGTATTTCAATTTTCATTTGAAGAACTACCCTCATCCATTTAGTCCAAGAAGTTTAAGTGGTGCTGACTTTAGAAAATGACACTCATCTAATCATTCAGAGATATCCATTCCTCTGGTTACAGAGATTGATTCAGGTATCTCTACACAATCAACATGATTGAGAAATCGATAAAATTCAAGCCTGTTAGCATTCATGGCCATCTTTGCCACACATAGTGAGAACCTAACTAAGAATGAATACAACAAAGGTAAAAGAACTAAGACATTGAGAAAGATCAGTTCTTAATAAAGGCATTTGAATTTATCTATTCAAAGGTATTTGAATAGATCAGCCTACCATAAACTTTTAGTTAAATGAGTGAAAAATAAAATTCCTTCTTTGGTCAAGACAAATCCAAATGAATTAAGAGAAGGATAATTCAGGGAGGATTTCAAACAAAGATATAAATAAGGAAATAAATTCAGAAAGCTTTTATCTTTGTATTTTCAATAAGTTGTTTAATATTCATTACCTTGTTCCAATATAAACCTGTCAGGTCTGTAAAAGAAGGTATCATTTCCATCCTAGCAACTAATTCCCATATAGGTAAATGACTTATGCAAAGACACTCCACTTTCTTTATCATAGTAAAAAAAAATAAAAACAAAAACAAAAGCAAAAAAACCTTTTGGAATAGTGCCTACTCACCCTGAGATCCAAATCCATATCCTGGGCAATTGGATCACTAGTCTAAAAAAAAATTCTTAGAGTATATTCCAATATCAATTCAAATGATTAAACATGCTACATAAATTATTCTTCCCATTTCTCCATCAGGAGGTCAATCTTTACTTCAAAGAAGCAAGATACGAGTGACGATTCAATAAAGAAGGAGAAGCCTACAGTCTTTCATCATGATCTAATTTTCTTTTTTAGTTGTATTTTGCCATTACTATTTATCCTCTTACAATCTCTTCCACCTCCACCCACCCCTCTGCCCACACCCATAATCACCATGCTGTTGTTCATGTCCATGAGTCCTTTCTCTTTTTTACTTTCTCCCTTGACCTGTCCTGATTCCTCCCCTCAGAGCTGTCAGTCTGCTCTCTATTTATGAATTTGTTTCTACTTTGCTTGTTATTTCAGTTCAATAGATTCCACATATGAGTAAATCTTATGGTATTTGTCTTTCTCTGACTGGCTTATTTCACTTAGCATAATATTCTCCAGGTCCATCCATACTTTCACAAAGGGTAAAATTTTTCTTCCTTTTTTGTGGCTGAGTAGTATTCCACTGTGGAAATGTACCTTAGTTGTTCTATCCACTCATCTACTGATGGACACATGGGCTGTTTCCAAATCTTGGCTATTGTAAATAATGCTTCAATGAACATAGGGGTGCTTATATTCCTTCAAATTAGTGTTTTGTATTTCTTCAGACAAATTCCCAGAAATGAAAATATTGCATCATAAGGTAGCTCCATTTCTTAAATTTTTTGAGGTAACCCCATGTGCTTTCCACAGTAGCTGCACCAATCTGTATTCCCACCAACAGTACAAAAATGTTTCCCTTTTTTCACATCCTTGCCAACTCTTTTTTGTTGATTTATTGATGATAGTCATTCTGACCAGCGTGCGGTGGTATGTCATTGTGGTTTTAATTTGGAATTCCCTGATGATTAGTAACATTGAGCATCTTTTCATATGTCTATTGGCCATGTATATGTCCTCTTTGGAGAAGTGTCTATTCAAGTCCTTTGCTCATTTTTTTCATTGAATTGTTTGTTTGTGTTGGTGTTGAGTTTTCTAAGTTCTTTATAAATTTGGATATTAATCCCTTATCATGTGCATTGATGAATATGTTCTCCCTAAAACAATCCCATTCACAATTGCTTCAAAAACTATTCAATACATAGGAGTAAATCTAACTGAAGATGTGAAAGACCTATATTCAGAAAATTATACGACACTGAAGAAACTGAAGAAGATACACACAAGTGGTAGCACATACCATGCCCATGGATCATTAAAATGCTCATGCTACCCAAAGAAATCTATAGATTCAGTATAATTCCTATCAAAACACCAATGATATGTTTCACAGAACTAGAAAAAATATTTCAAAAATTTATATGGAACCACAGAAGGTCCTGCATAATAACAGTGATCTTGAGAAAGAACAAAGTTAGAGGAATCATGCTATCTAATATCAAACTATACTGTAAGTCCACAGTAATCAAAACAGCATGGTACTGGCATAAAAATAGACACATCAATCAATGGAACAGATTAGAAAGACTAGAAATAAACCCACACCTTTATAGTCAATTAATATTTGACAGAGGAAACAAGTACATACAATGGGTAAGAGTTGTTTATTCAATAAATGTCTTGGGAAAATTGGACAGATATGTGCAGAAAAATGAAACTAAACCACCTTCTTATGCTGCACACAAGAATAAACTCAAAATGGATTAAAGACTTAAATGTTAGATCCCAAATCATAAAAATCCTAGAAGAAAACATAGGCAGTAAAATCTTGGGCATTGCTCATAGCAATATTTTTTTCTGGTATATCTCCTCAGGCAAGGGAAATGAAAGAAAAAGAAAAAAATAAACAAATAGGACTACATCAAACCAAAATGTTTTCATACAGCAAAGGAAACCATTAACAAAATCTAATTTTCTATGTAGGTTTTATCCTGGATTTTTAATTTTATATCCAATTGCCCTTACATAAACCACTTCTCCATTATGTAAACCACTTCTCCATAAACCACTTAGGCTTAGTTTTCTTATTAGAAAGGGGGAAAATGCTCTAGAATTTAGAATGCGTCTATTATTACTAGCTGACCTTACACATGAGTGAGAAAAGAAAGGAAGAAAAAAACATGCAAATGATACTTCTAATTTGTCAACTGTGTGACACTGAAATTTCACTTCCCCTTTCAGAGCCTTAGTTCTTTTGAAAAGAAGCATTACAATCTGTTTTTAAGATAATATCAGAAGAAAAAAAATAAGTTACTGATCATAAGATGACATAGACTTTGCTAGAGTACTTCAATATCAGTGGGTTTTTCAGAATAAACTAAGGTATTTGTCCCGCTACTTTTTTTAAAGTAATATTTCTTTAACTGGATAATATAAAAACATTAGTTTAAAAAAATAAGGGAAAAGGGCTTACTTTACTGAGGTTAAAGAACCTAACGGACAAGCAGGGTTTTGCTTGTTCTCCATGACTTTCATGTAAAGTGGCAAAGACAGATAGAATGTACATCTTATTACAGTCCCAGCAGCCCCTTTGAGACCTCAGAAAACATCTAAATATCGGTGTTACTTAATGAAACAAACTATAGTCACATAGCCTGGAGATTCTGGAAGTAAGAACATGTTCCTTTCAGCAAACTCAGTGTTTTAGTTCATTGGGTGTGAAAATCAGAGAAAAGTGTTCTTTCTTCAACTTCCAAAAGAGGAAAAGCAAAAAGAAAAGAGTAAGTTAATACCAACTTACACCATACACAAAAATAAATTCAAGGTGGATGAAGGACTTAAATATAAGTCACGACACCATAAAAGTCCCAGAGGAGAACATAGGTAGGAAAATCTCAGATATTCCATGCAAAATATTTTCACCAATATGTCCCCTAGAAGGAGGGACATAAAGGAAAGAATAAACAAATGGGACTTCATCAAATTAAAAAGCTTCTGCACAGTTAAAGAAAACATCAGCAAAATGAAACGGAAACCAATCATGTGGGAAAATATATTTGCAAATGATACCTTGGACAAGGGTTTGATCTGCAAAATATATAAAGAATTCACATGACTCCACAGCAGGAAGACAAACGACTCAATTAATGGGCAAACGACCTGAATAGATACTTCTCCAAGGAGGACATACAGAGGGCCCAGAGACATATGAAAGGATTCTCAGAATCACTAGCCATCAGAGAGATGCAAATTAAAATCACAATGAGATATTACTTCACACTGGTCATCATAACCAAATTAACAAATAAGTGCTGGTGAGGTTCTGGAAAAAAGGGAACCCTAGTACACTGTTGGTGGAAATGCAGACAGGTGCAACTACTGTGGAAAACATTATAGAATTTCATCAGAAAACTATAAACAGAACTGCCTTTTGACCCAGCAATTCCACTGCTTGGAGTATGCCCTAAGAATCCTGAAACACCAATTCTAAAGAACCTATGCACCTCAATGTTCATTGCAGCACAATTTACAATAGTCAAGTGTGGAAGCAACCTAGGTGCCCATCAGTAAATGAGTGGATCAAAAAACTATGGTACATTTATAAAGTGGAATACTACACAGCAGAAAAAAAGAAGGAGCTCCTACCCTTCATGACAGCATGGATGGATCTGGAGAGCATTATGCTAAGTGAAATAAGCCAGGTGGTGAAAGA